CTTCTCTTCATTATGGTACATTGTATGGTCAAGTACATTGAAAAACTTTTCCAATATCACACACAAAGGAACGGAAATATTAACTTCAATTTATACGGAATGCAATCAACGTCATCTAGTAACCATTAGAGAAAAATAAGAGTTTTTTCAATTTCGGGCGCCTTTTAGCAACTAAAGCTTAAAATTAAATAACCGATTAGGATATTGCTGACATATAAGAATTGTTGAGATAAAGTTTTTAAATACATACGTTTTATGCCTGTTATAATTAACTTCTGAAAATCGTCATTCATACGTTTACAAGTACCTAATAAATAATTAATTAATGACAAGGTCAATGTAATTTTCAAAATGACGATATTCTGTAATTTGAGCTTGGGTCCTAGAATTATGTTTTTACTGTGTATTCTGAGAACCCGCTTCGTAACCTCTTAGGGGGAGAATATAAGTGTTTGGTATCGATCGCATCATAAGCGAACTGTCACAAACAATTTCTCTTTATTTTTATTATTTGTATATAAAAATAAATTCGAAAATTTACATGCAAATTTTCTTATTGCTATAGTAAATAAATCTATACTTAGATACTCCTAAATTAAATTAGAATACCCATTGGCACCAGCCACGGATGCAAACTGGATTAATGAATTTCAGCAATAGAAAAATGTATACTAAATATTTTGATAGATATTTCTCTTTAGGTATACAAGACAGCTTCCGCACAACAGTCGTTACTCCCCTATAAGGATAACGTTGATAGTAAATATTTATCTTTAGCAACTATAAAATAATAAGAAAGGAATCTCACATGGCCTAAAAAAATAAAGTAAGTAAAAAACAAATCCGTAGTGAAAAAACTTTAAAGGTTAAGCTTATCGCACATCTAGACAGTATGTTGGTCTACTTATATATATGACAAATATTTACAAAAATTATAGATCCTCTCTATATATCTCTTAAAATTAATGCTTGGCATATAATTTTCGAAGAATTATTTTGGTAAATGGTCATCTGGTTCATCTTGACCTAACTTATATTTAGATTACTAGTGTAAATTTAGAAATGAAAATCGATATAAATTATTAGAATTAAGACTTTAAGACAGAGCACAAAATATTTGCCTTTTACTTTTGACACATGTGTAAAATAGACGAATACAAAATATAGTCCAGTCATTATAGTAAGTTCACCTCGGAATGCGAGATACCCAGCTGTAAGTCTGTAAATAGTTATATATTGACACCCTAAAAGTTGCCTCAAAACCTACATATGGTAGGGTGTAAGCAACTATTAAATTTCAAGTTCAAAGGTCACAAAAATCGGTGTTTTGCTCTTTTTTTGGAAATATCTCATTTCCTGTGGGTTTTTTGCTATTTGTATTTATTATCAATATTGTAGAATACTAAATTCTCTACAAATTTTGTTTCAAAAATTTTTTTATACGGTGTACCGTTTTCGAGATAGAGGGCGGAGAGCGCGCGGTCACCGCATCACTTCAGGTCAACCGGTGCCTCCGGTCGAAAACGCGCCTTATATAGTTGATGAACTATCAATAAATCAATGATTATAAATATTTGTCAATTTTCAAAAAAGCAGAAGAACGTGGGGATGTTTTTGGAGAATTGGTGAAAAGTCGTATAATTTTACAGTTTGATTTGATCGCTGCTGAAGCGAAGTACCATGCTGCTTGTTTTACAAACTTTTCAAATAAATCATCATCATCATCGCCTCTTGAGAAACCTCGTCAAGGTAATCAAGTTACAGAAGCTATGTTAGAGATTTTCAATTACATCGAAAATAATAATGATTCTCAATTTACACTAAAAGAGCTTAAAGATGTCTTGACAGGGTATCTGTCAGATGATAAAACTATCATTACAAGACTACAACAGAAGTACTTAACCGATATCGTAATTACGAAGAAAGTTGAAGCTTTCACGATCATTTCTTTCCGTGATGCACAAGCTAATATTCTATCAAAAGCTTGGTATAAAGTAAAAAAATAGATCCTGAAGCAGAAAGGCTATGAATTGTAGAAGCTGCAGCAGCAATTATTATTTATTATTAGAGAATTCTGCAATTACATGGACAGGTAAGTGTTGTTAAATAAATTAATACTGAATAAAAAAGTGGATAAGTTAGGAAAAAAATGATAAATTATAATATAATAGTTAATAAAAATTGACAAATATTTATAATCATTGATTTATTGATAGTTCATCAACTATATAAGGCGCGTTTTCGACCGGAGGCACCGGTTGACCTGAAGTGATGCGGTGACCGCGCGCTCTCCGCCCTCTATCTCGAAAACGGTACACCGTATAAAAAAATTTTTGAAACAAAATTTGTAGAGAATTTAGTATTCTACAATATTGATAATAAATACAAATAGCAAAAAACCCACAGGAAATGAGATATTTCCAAAAAAAGAGCAAAACACCGATTTTTGTGACCTTTGAACTTGAAATTTAATAGTTGCTTACACCCTACCATATGTAGGTTTTGAGACAACTTTTAGGGTGTCAATATACAACTATTTACAAACTTACAGCTGGGTATCTCGCATTCCGAGATTCTTACCTAATTTAAGCTTAAATGACTGGACTAATATTCATAGTAAGTATATACGTTTATAAAGGGCTTCAAGAAAGAACTTTTTTGTGACGAGGCCGAATAGAATGACGTTCTTTGCCATTGCCTATATTAGTAAAAAATAAAATAGACAAAGAAAACTTATGTCAATATGGAATTTTGTTCCGTATGATTGAAACAAATAAGTCTTTTCCACCAACGCATTAATTTCTTATAAATCTGTGATGTAGCGACTTGTGACATACTATGGAGTACACAAGGATGCCAAGTGTTTGGGAACACTGCGACGCAGGAAACGTTGTATCAATTACCGTGCTTCAAATGCTGTTTATCTATACCAGCATTCTGTTCTTACATGCACTCCTGTACTGGGGTCGCCACCTACTGCGTAATCGGACTCCACAAGTCATAAGTTACCATGGGTCGTTATTTTCACAAGTCTCCCGATGAAAGTATAACACAACAAATATTTGTTAGTTTAGCTTGGCTCGTTTTCATTTACTTAATATTCCTGACCTTATATGAACTCTTCGAACTATTGAGACCAAAACAAATAAGCCAGCCTCAGCCTCATCACCAAAGAAAATGTTCTATTTGTTTGAAATACCATCGATAACAGACTGTAACGTAGAAACTGGAGTTACTTAATATTTTTGTAATGTTATTATGGGTGGAGTTTTCAACTATAGCTTTTAAAATTGTAGAGGTTAAAGGTATGCAGGTACCCATTCAATAAAGAAATCCCAAAGATAATATGTAGTAACATTTTTGTATCATGGACGTTTACGTACTTACTAGGTTTTATAATCTTATAAATTACTTGGTTTAGATTCAAGTTATGTCTTGTCTATTTTTGAATTCCTGTATTTTAAGTAAATATAAGAAATCTTAACCAATTTAACAGTACATAAAGAACCAAAATATTGAAAAGGAAGAAAGAAAACTAGTTTCAATTATTACTCATTCTGTAGCGACCTCTTATTAATAATTTATAACATTAAAAATTATTGAAAATACGTAGCAATTTTGTAGATTGGGTTTGATAGTATTTTTTTAAACCTTATATACTTTACATATAATCTTGTTTTTCTTTCAGCTGAGAGAAAGAAAAAACAATAGTTATAATTTTAAAAAGATACAGTTACGAATTTATGAAAAATATTATTCCATTATTTCCATTTTAAGCATAAAACAGAATATTTTCCTGATTCAAATAATTAAGAACTCGTTGACTCAAGTGTCATCATTGATTTTTTAAATTTAATTCCTAAATAATTTTATAAAAATTTATTTACTTTGAACTTTTATTTAAGCTGTCAATCAGTTGGATGTGATAATGCAGAACTTGTAGGTTGGAGACCTACCCGTATCGATGTATCGTTCATTCTTAATTTTCTACTTTAAATATTAACACAATATTGCTTTTCTATTTAAAACAAAATCCCACGAGTTTCCATTCTACATATATATTGTTGTAAACCACCGAATTATGCTCAATTTAGGTAGTTTTAATACGGCTATTTCTTAAAAATTACGGCACTTCTCGTTGTCATTCTATTGATATACATCTGTGACAGAAAAAAATAACTTGATTACGAAACATTGTGATTAAAAAGTGAACAAAATTTTATAATTCAAATGATATATCAAGTGATCTTAACAATGAATATGTCGATTTTCTAATACTGTTTTTAAATTGTCAAACTCTAAATTGAAAATGGGACGTTTTATATTATCGAGGTCATAATTAGTGTTAAGATGTGCTAAAGTAAATAATTTAATGGTAGTTGTTATAATTTAGTTTAACTGTTAACAATGCCTTTGAACAATAGGTAATATCTACAATCTACATGTTCAAAATGATATCCAGAAATTTTACAATTCGGGATTTTTTGCAGTTTTTTTTTTTGGATATATTTTTACGGCTTTGGATACGAGTCCTTTTTAGCCTATTTCTTACAGTATAATAAAACTGTTGCCACTTGAAAAATAACGTGATACTATAGGGAAAAATCATATAATACCACGATCTTTAGTAATATATTTAACATAATAAACAACCCTACTTAAATTTCTTAAAGGTCTGAATTTAAGTGCTACTATATAAGAATAAAATTATCTGAATTATGGATACATATCATATTATTGATTTGGATTTTTTTTTACATTTTAAAGTCAATGGTAGTTATGAAGTTTTAACGAGTAACACTGTTCGTTATTACTTGACAGTTTCTGAAGAGGACTCGTATCCAGAGCCGTAAAAACATTTACAAAAGCAAATAGTTGATAGTTGATAAACCTGGATCCTAGAGGCCAGAACTTAGAAGTGATAAAAGTTTTCGGCTTGCAGTATCTTTTTTGTTTATGTGCAAAATTTTATTATTTCAATTGGTTTTAAATTATCAGCAATGATGAAGACTGCGGTAACAGTATTGCAAGAGATGATGTTAAAATTAGGATTGGTGCCAGAATATGAATGTGTATCTCAGGTATTTTTACTAATGTAATATTTTAAATTTTACACTGAATTTTATATTTTACACAAACGCAACACTTTAGAGAAGTCTGACCTTAGTGGTCAAATTTATATATGTGGTTGATTATTCATTAGATCCAACACTTTTATGACAATTCCTAACATCAATTTAATATGATACCTTCAATTTGAGATAATTTGGATGATTTAAAATATACAATTAATTAGAAAATAAATAAAAGAGAGATAAGCTCCTTCACATTTCTGAAATAATATTTCAATTTATTGGGAGCCAAAAAGTATTCTGGTAGCCACTTAATTATTTCATTACTTGTTAATATTCTTTATAATATACAATTGAAATATATTCTAACATCCTCTGTTATACTACAAATGTGTAATATGGAATTTCATAAAACTTTGTTATTGGTAGCCACATATGGCCTATTCTTACTAAATTGGTTTTGTATATTTCAGTCAGGCCCCCACCATCAAGCAATGTTTGAATATCGTTGTACTGTATATGGCTGTGATGCTTCTGCTGTTGCTCGTTCTAAAAAAGAAGCTAAGCAGGAAGCAGCGCGGTATATGTTGCAAAAGCTATTTGCTCGTGGTCTCAGTGTACCTGCTCCTTATGCCACAATGCCATCTGAGCAAGAGCGGCCATCATCACCCCCATCTCCCAACAACAATCCTGCTCTTGTAAGTCTTTACAAATAAGACACATTTTTATATTTTGCTAATAGTATTTTATACATAACACCAATTTATTGTTGGTTATCAGGAGCCCGGCCCTTCAGCAGTTACAGGGAGGAGCACGCTGCCACTAGACACTCGAAGCTATGTTGCACTATTGAAGGAGCTAAGCGAACAGTATCATCTCGGCGAGCCACAGTATGAGCTTGTTAGTGACACAGGTCCTGCCCACCACCGTCACTTCACCATTCGCGTCAGTTTGGGGTTACACTCGCGACAGTGTACATCCACAACAAAAAAAGCAGCCCGTCAACTTGCAGCAGAACAATTATACACTTATCTCCGTGATAACCTTTCTAGGCTCACCGGGGACTTTGTTGAGGTAAATTTTCAACATTTTATCACTTGGTTTGTTATATTTTGTACTTACTCATCAAACTTTTTAACTTAATATTTAAATATGGCAAATCGCTTCACCACATACATAATTATTTTTTTTGTTGAAAAAAGTTATGGATACTAAAAATAATTATACAGGAGGAGGCCTTGGCGCGTGCTCTTGAGAAATCCTTAAAGAAAAAGGATGCTGCCGCTGGGAGTGAGACTCCTAGCAAGGGTTGTAACATAGACACTGCGATGAATCGCTTCACAGAACTACATGAAATGGCTGGTCACTGTCTGGACCTGGGACAACGGATCTCGCAGTATCACAACGGTCTGATGATGCATATTGGTACAAATAACCTCCAAAATATTAGTAGCATTAGTAATGAGATTAACTTATTCAAAAATCTAATTTTTTCTCTGTGTTACTAATTTGAACTTTTCTTTTCTTAAAAGCTGAAGTCTTCAAAAGGATGGACTATAAAATGGCATCTCTAATAATTTATTTTTTTTAAAAAAGAAACACAAATTTAATTTTCAGATTTATTTGAATCTCAACAGCAAACACGCCGTTATCCCAAATGAGAAACACTTACTTTTTGTTTAATCCCCAGAGGAATCAAAACGGCTGAGTGGTCAGGAGGCATTGAAAGCAAATGTCTCAGCTGAAGACACAGAGCGAGCATTAGAAAGTGTATGCAGTGCCTTGGGTCTACGAGTTGAAAGAGGTGTGTCATGCGGCAAGAGCCTGAGCGTGTTGAGACTGGTGCCCACCGCTCCACCCCTAGCATTCGCTGGAGGAGACGATAAAGGAGCCGCAACCGCAGCCCTGCGCTATCTGCGACGAAACTTAATCACGCAGTCTGTCTAATATGAATGTTTTAACAAAATTATTTTTAATATTTCAGTAAAGAGTTTAACACTGTTCTATATTAAACAATTTTAAGAAATAATTAAAATAATTAAAAACGTTGTAACGATTTTTCAAAAATGCACTACCGCAACTAAATATTGTCTTAGATATATATCTAAGACTAATGAAAAGGCTTATGAAATGAAGTTAATTACTTTATGAATTGTGATTTTAAATTGATTAACACTACTGACACCACTACTGATTTTAACTTAATACTTGAAGTGTCTGTAGTAATCTCTTATGAATAATGCAGTGCCTAATTTTCAATTATTTCTTTAGAGTTTTAGAGAGTAGCAGCAGTTATAACAATGCCTTGTTTTTTTTTGAGTATGTTAAACATAATGAATAAACTATTTGTTTTTTCTATTAATTTTATTATGCATTAATAACAGCAAATTGGGTCCAACCACACCATCAAAGGGTCAGACGATATAAATGGTAACACCTTTACAGTTTTTAAAAATTTCTTAAGTTTAATCACATTTTGTTTTATATTATTTTCACTGTAACAGTCTTCACTCTGTTAGAGGAAAATTAATCAGACATTTCAATTTCCGAGGATTCGCGACGGCGCCGCGAAGACCTGTCAGCTGCAAGGGTTTGAAACCAATTGTTAGTTTTCTGTGCCGCTGTCCTACGCGGTGTACGGCGTTCTGGGGTCACCTCTGTAGAGGGCGCAGGGGCAGTAGAGCCACGTCCTCTTCCTGTAGCACGTCCCCTACCTCGCCCTCTTCCGCCACGAGAACCCCGACCTCTTCCTCGTCCCATAGGTGCTTCGTCATCACTCGATAGAACTATTGAAACATTTTTCGTGAGTTCTGAATTTTGCTTACTTGACTCCTCTTTAGCTTTGACTGCCGCAGTAGCAATCATAGTCTTCAGCCTATCACCGTCCGCCATATCCAGTGTCGCTTTGCACGTTTTAAGGTGCTCCCCTATTTCTTCTGGTGTTTCGGCATTAGATTCGAGCAACGAATCTACACATCTTTTTCTATGGGCGTCTAGTACCCGACGGAATACGTCGTCGTCCCGTTTTATAGTAAAATCTCTAACAGCTTCTGTGAGGGAGCGTACAGAAAGAACGGCGAGGCGGCGGTCATGAGGAAGATTTTCATAATACGTTCGAAGCAAAGACTCAACATCCGTCGCATCAGAGGCTGCACCAATTATATCTGAATCTTCTATCTCATTTGAACGTTCCTTTCTTTCTCGTAATTTCTTTTCTCTTTTCATTATAAGGACATCATTAGGATTTGCAACAAGACCATTAAAGTTTTGTCCGAACCTTACCCTATTAAAATCTTGTCCATCATGTTCATAGAACACACTAAGTCTGATGAGAGGTAACAAAGGCTGTTTAGGGTCACCACTGCGCAGTCCTTCTGCTTCCTGTATGGCTTCATTCACTTTACCTTTTAAAAATTGTTGTACTTTTTCAGTTTCATTTACATCTTCTTGACCCAAATTTTCTTCTGATAGAACTACAGTCTTAAATATAAATGGACGTATAGTTTTTAATGGTATTGGAGTCACTATGTATTCCTTTTTGTGTAATTGGAGTAATGCACAGTGTTTGGGTAATGCCTCGCCTGCAGCAAGTGATGTTGCTACAGTGCTTCCTGGTTGAATAACAAAAAATCCTTCATTTTCCCTCTTTACATCCTTTATAGGAAAAACTTGGCTGTCATGCTCATGACCCCAGATAACAAGATCTAAAAATGTGGGTAAAACATTTTCTGGTATATAATTGTTGGGGCCTCTATCAGCCCTGTTTTGATGTAAGACAAGAATATTAAACCAATCATTACCATCCTCAACCACTTCCATTTCTACTTTCTTTTCAATAAACAATCTTGCTAGTCTTTGATCTTTTAAATGACTCAAACCATACAAGGATAGTTTAGTTTCACCTTTTTGTATGAGCACTGGAGAGATACGTACATGAGTGTAATCAGTCCATTTACCAAAATAATTAACAAGACCAGTAATAGACAATATATCCAAAGAACTAACACTGCCTTGTCCCACTGGATCATCATGGTTTCCATGAATGGAAAGTAATGGATAAGACACATTTAAATTTGGATCTTCATAATTTACGGCACGTGAAAAATTATCCAACTGATTTGATATGACTTCAATACTTATTGGTTTATCTCCGAAGCAGTATTTACGAATAATTTGAGTACATTTAAACATACAACTTGGCGAGGGTTTGGCGTGATCAAACAGGTCTCCACCTAATAACACCATATCTACGTCATATTGCACAGCAAGAGAAAGAACCTCCTCAAAAGCAATAAAACTATCTTCCCCGCGAATGGCATCATTTTCCAAATGTCCCAAATGAATATCTGAAGCTACAAGAACACGTATTGTGTCCTCTGGCGACCAGGATTCACTATTATTCTGTACCATAATTCTTTAAAAACAATTGGGTACTATAAGTATTGTATATTCGAAAAACTATTTGCTAGTGTATTTACTATTTAATACACATGAAATTAAGCGCCAATAGTTAAAAATATAAACAAAATTGACATGTGCCAGTGTCACTCCTTTGAAAATAAAATACTTTTTTATCGGTTTTTACTTAAATGGATATATACAAATTTTTTGTATGCAAAATTAAAAACCTTTTGGATATTGATAACTAACACATAAAATAACAACATATTAATATAACAAACACACGTACATATTTGTGTTTCACCCATGGTTTGCTTTTAATTAGATTTACAAACCTTATTTTGAACATTACCTGTACAAGGAATGGAGATTAATAATTTTAAAATAACTTGTTACTTATTTACGTACTTTAAAGAAATATATCATTATAATTATTTTGCAATAGCAACAACATGGATTGTAAGTAGTATTTTCGAAAATCTCAATTTTCGATTCATTATGTTATTATCATAAAATATGAAAGTGGTAATTTCTTAAGGATACTAAAAGCCTTAATAAAATAGAGAATACAAAATATTTTGTTTCTTATAATGAAGAAGCATTTGATCCTGTGAATATTTTTTATCTACAAGATCAACAACAAACATCTGTTTGTTAAGTGTATATGTCAAACGAATATCTAGTGTTGATTATTGACACAGGTTCGCGAAATCACTAGAAATATCAATATTCAGTGTTACACTTGTCAACTTGTTGTCTTATGTCTATAATGACATTTGTTATTTTTTATAATTATGTTTTATGTGTTATAATTTCGTAAATCTTTATTTGTAAATGCTTTTTTCCTGATGTGACGACATAACGTGAGTTCGCTAACCAATCATGCTTCCACGGGAGAAGATCAGCATTTGCTTAGAAGAGAAAGTGTCATGTGAAATCAGAGAGTCGCCTTCAATGATGTGGAAGAGGTCGATTGTGCAAGCGAGGGCTGGATATACACGACACTATGCTGCTATGATCCTAGTTTTAGCTTTGTTTACAGTAAGTTACGTTAAGTGTTTCAAACATAATACTGTTTAACTAAAACTTACAAAAGTAGTCATTTTATTATTTACAATTTAAGTTTTAATCTTTATTCAAAATCCTTTCAAAGTTTGATACTATTTGGTTAAGAAAATGTTGCTTTCTTTATAGAGCAATAAAAAATCTCTTCACACTATTAAAATTTAAATCTGTAAATATTCACTTCACAATAAATAAAAACAGCATTGTTAAAAATAGGCTGTCTGGCCTGTCTTTGTCTTTATGAAAAATAAAAGACATAAAACTTGTTACAAGATTTGAATTGAAATATTTACTAAAGTATTGACTCAATCAATGAATCATTATTTGTTGTCTTTTCAAAATAATTAGGTTCAAATTGTTGCAAAAATATTAAAATATAAATTTTATTTATTTTATATGTTCACTGCATATTTACTTTATTTCCTGTATTCTCTTAATTATATTGAAAAATAGAAATAAAGTACATTTAGTATTAAGTACATATTTTATAAAATTAATACTCAATCAAACTTTTTTCATATTTTAATTTCTTTTTTTGTTTTATCTTGGCTTCCTGCAATTGTTCTAATATTATTGATCACTATGGGGGGAAGGAACAAAAAACTCTCATTACTTATAAAATATATGTAAAAAATATTTTTCAAAATAATGTTTAATTTAAAAGTCAGAATTAGCAACACCATTACATTTCCAGATTTCATTTTGTAAAATACCTACACTATGGTTATAAGCTGTTAAATATTTGGTAAAAATAAAGTCCTTTTTTGTATGGAATAATTTAACAAAGAAAAAAATGTCATTTTTTGTTTTGACATTAATTTTGATATTAAAATGGGCCACCAGATTTTTTAGAAAAAGTTATTTAGACATACATAATATCCACAGTCTGGCCATAAATACTGGTACAATTAAAAATAAACAAAATATTACATTTGAATTTGGAATCTGTCATTTTAATATAATTTTTCATTGTTTTCTTATTTTGGCGCCAATAAATTGTTCAATATTTTGAAATATTAAAATGGAGTGGAGTGATAAAGTCAACCGAATTGGTGTGATTGCATTACACAAAGTGGGTATGGAGCCAAATCCAATTTTTAAAACTCTCCTCACTCTCGCCATTAGTCATATGTTTGTGTACTGGTCTATTAATAGGTACAATAAGACCTTTTCTATACATGACAGAAAAAGTTCTGGCCGTCCACATAGTGTTCGTACGAAAAAGGTGGTCAAAGCAGTAAGGGAAAGAATTCAAAGAAACCCAGTCCGAAAGCAAAAGATTTTATCTCGGGAGATGAAGTTAGCACCTAGAACCATTTCGCGTATTTTAAAAGATGATTTACGACTTGCAGCTCATAAGAGACAAACTGGACATTTTTTAAATTATAATTTAAAAAGAATAGGGTGATAAAATCTAAAGAACTACTAAAGCGGTATGCAAAGGGATGTCACAGAAAAAAATTGTTTATGGATGACAAAATTTTAATAAACAAAATGACCGCATTCATGCTCAAAGCTCTTAGGAAGCTTCCCAATTAGTCGACAGAGTGCAATGTGGGCATTATCCAATTTGGTTTCCGACCGTCATTAGCTATGAAGGATTGATACTTTGAATAAGCCTTTTGTGTTTTAAATTTTTTTATATTTATATATTAAACTTACATACTGTAAAAGTCATGAATGTTATTTGCAATAGAAAAAATATATTTTTTATTTGTAACAATATTTATGGCTAGACTATGTATTACTTAAAATAAATTTGACTATTCTTAAACTCATAACCTACACCCAAAACAATCATGATGGTAAACAATCATTATTGTAGTATAACCATGCCATGAAGAATATAAATTTAATTCTATATCACAGTTGCTGAATTTCCACGTTGAAGCTGCGGATCTAGTCATTGAAATCCCTGGCTGGGGTGCGGAGGGTACCGATGGTGCACACTATCGACTCGACTACCGTCCTCCCCAGGGTTCGCCCGCGCCAAACTTTACTGTACCAGCTCGGGCCTCCACCATTAACTTTCAGGGCCTGCCTGGCACTAAATATCATTTTATGCTATACTATTCTAATGCCACCTTCGCTGACCTGCTCACTTGGAATCAAACCATAATAACGGGTATACTATTCAGATATATAAAATAATATTTTAAGGAGTGGTGAAAATAATTGTTATTTATTCTTATGATAAATATTAAACCAATGAAATTGTTTATCATTGCTTTTACTAATTTCTCTATACCCATCTTTGTTTTAGAAAGGTTTATTAAAGGGATATCTGATTACAGCGCCGGAACCTCCCACGAATCTGACAGTAACTTTAGGACGCAACAAGCAAGCAACTATTTCTTGGTCACCGCCAGCGCATGGTGACTACACTGGCTTCCGTTTCCGTGTGTTGCCTCCATCAGAGGGCGAGGGTGGTCCAAGGAATGTGACCATAGATGGCACTGGCAACTGGTCCCATGTACTCCGTGAACTAGCGCCTGGTGCTACCTACCAGCTGCACGCCTTCACACTATTACACGACAAAGAAAGCGCCGCCTACGCTTCCTTCAACTTTACCACAAGTCAGTATCGGAATTTCCAATATATTCATAATCGATCATGCCCCAAGTTTAGGTTTTTACAAATCGTTTCAACAGGAAAAAAATACTATAATGTTTATATAAACTTTGTTTAAACGGATAAAACTTAAGATTATTAACATAGAAATATTTCCACAAGGTCAACGAAACAAGTCGAAACATTCAGTCAACGGTATTGAAAATCCATATCCAATCTTATAATTAATGTAACGAAATATGTTAGTTTGAATTTACGTCTCATTATAAAATGTTTTAGTTTACATATAAAACCTCTTTGCGTTTCAAAACCATCTCTTTTAGAGAAAAAAATATATACCTACTTATTAAAAAAAATTAAGCCAGTGTGATGTCCACTTCTAACTACTTTTACAAATTATGAAATAAAAAGAAAAGCTATAAATTAAAATTAAATTATTATTTTCTCATACACCACCGCAGTTGAGATAGTACCTATTATCTATAAAATAGAAAAATAACAACAAGAAAATATTTTTTTTCAAATTACGCTAGTGAAATATAATAATGGAGTTGAAAAATCAGCATTTCAAAAAATTACATGGCTTTAGAAAAAACTCAACAACAATATTTAAACATTCACGTCAAAATTATTAACAGTCGACTATTTGTCTCCGCCATTGTTTGTTTTTTTCAAATTTATATCAATAATCCACGACATTGGCGAAATCTATAAAGAAACGCCACTAACTAAAGAAGAAGAAGTATGTCAACTAATACGATTCATAAATATGTTCCCAATCATTGTAATTAATATTTTTGACGAAGTAACATTTTAAATACAGTGTTAAATGGATGTATCGCGCGTCGGATATTTGCCATGGAACATATCTTTGGCGGATATCGTTCACTACCTATAGATTTCTCGTGTCTTGTGAACATGTCTAGCCCTACGGAGCGGTGACGGCAGCGACACGACCTCACGACAAGGGACCGACACGCTGCCGTTGCGATCATCTCGTCGCATATTTAAACAGGTTCTATTTGTTTCGCTCTTCGACCCGGAAGCTGTTATGTTATTATTTCGCCTCATTCAATGTTTATTATAATGTAGATTCGTTCGCATGTATATGATTCGTACTGTCGCTATTTTGTTATTCTGTTACCAAGATACGACCTTGGGCCGTTTCTTTGTATTTTCGTTATGTTTATATAGATAGTTATACAGTTTGAAGTGATCGTTGTAAAATAGTTTTTGCCGTTTATTTCCGTTTTTTTTGTCAGTATCTTATATTTGTCAAAGCAAAACGTCATTTATTTGATTTTATCTTCTTAAAAGTGACATATGATATGTCACGTTCGTTCATGCATCTTTAAAGCTGGCTATTGTCATGT